TTCCGGGACAGGAAGACACTCATTTGTGGCATGTTGGGGACAGCAGGCTGGACAGCCAGGGGGTCACATGGCCCCTGCTTTGTCTCAGTTCCCAAGATGTCACCTGAGCTCGCCCTCCAGCCCTGGGTCCGGGCCCCATGTCCAGAAGCTCTTCTCGAGGTCCATCCTTGGGAGCAGGAAGGAGACCATCCACACCAGCAAGTGTGTGGGTCTGGGGACAGAGCGCAAGACAGATCAGTGTAGATGGGAGGGTTTATACCCACCCTGGGGCAAGGAGAGCTGTGGTGGGTCCAGGGCGGCGCTGGTCTGTCTGACCCGGTGCCTGCTGCTCTCTGCTCAGGACACCGCCAGCAGCGGCTCTCTGGGCGATACCCATCATGGTCATTGGGAAGCCCAAGGTCCTTCTACATGACCCACGACACCTCACTTCATCAAGCGCTGTGGACGAAAGGTTCCACAAACCAGGGCTTTAGCCAAGTAGCTCAGGTCCTCGTGGGCTGGTGGCCTCAGGATGGACACAGACCCCTGGGTCTTGGTCTCCCAACACCTACCAGGCTCAGGGTGGAATGAAAGTGTAGAGACACGGTGACGGACACACGTGACGTTCCCTAGGGCTGCTCAGTGAAGGTCCCCCTGCAGCCCCTCTTGTCCCCACTTTGTCCCAACTTTGCTGATCTTTCAGCTTGTCTGTTGTGACCTTGACATGGTCAAGGCCAGCCCCTGCCCCACTTTCCTGTAAAAGGTTTTCAGGGACTTAATATAGTAACTATCTAACAAGGATAATTTCAGGAATAGACAATACAGATTTCTGTCACCTCACACAAGCCAAACACAAATAAGTGTGTGGCTGTTTGGAATTTAAAGATTTTGTTCATGTGGCTTCAGAATTCCTGGACGCCGCGTCCTCTGTGTCCTGTGTTCTGTGCCCATTGGCGCTGACGCGCCTCTTGTCTCACAGGAGACCCCCAGGCCAGCCACAGCCCCTCATCAGCAGAGGAGGAGACCCAGGCTCTGATGGAGAGCCATGCTCAGAGCTTCCACGGCCCAAACCAGCAGTCCCAGGGCGGAGGGGGGTCCTGCAGCCCCCAGGAAGCCAGCGTGAGTCGGGGCTTGGCCCTGCACTTCGTGCTGCCCCTTGACGTGTGGCTTCGGGTGGGGTGACCTCGTCCATCAGATGAGGTGCTGATGGGACGGGCTCTGGCTTTCCCCAGGTGGTGCATCCGTTGGTGGGGCTTTGGAGCCTGCTGGGAGGAGAGGTATCGCTGCATGGGGGTCTCCAGGGCCCTCTGTAGGGGGGTGGTCTTTATTCCTGACTGTGGTCACAGGAGCAGAGGGCCTTTCTCCACTGCTAAGGGACACAGACCGATGCCCACACCCTGACTGTGACATTTCTCCACCGTGTTTCCAGCAGGTGGTTGAAGGCAGCGCAGGCCAAGCAGGGGCAGAGTCGGGGCTGGATTTTGCTGGCAGCCCTGTGGGGAAGCCCCCGGAAACCGAAAGGTCAGAGGAGCAGAGGTGTGAGGCCTGGGGGGGCTGCCTGGGCCTAGGGGACCCCTCGGGCAGGGTTTGGGGCCTGGGGCATGGAGGTGGTTTGGCCAGCACTCCCGGCCCTCTCACTCTCCCCTGGAGCCCCTCACGCTGGCCTGGCCCACTGTGGACCCCCAAGCTACCTGAGTCTGAAACAAGGATGTCACCTAGTGAATCAGCCCCAGAGCCAGCAGTGGGGGCAGCAGGAGGGGCGCCTCCAGGGAGCACGTGCCTCTGGGCCTGTCAGGTGGCCGCCTCTCAGCTACCGACACAGTGGGGCCTGAGGCCAGAACCCCTTAAAGACAGGACTCTCCTTAGCTCACCCATGGAGCCCTGACTCTGGCAATCACCTCTCTTTGGGGTAGTTGGAGACCCCCTTTGGAGACCAGGAGCCGGGAGGAGGTTAGGAGGATGGGGTTCCTCCTGGGGACACCCTGGACTTGTCCATGTTGTGCTTGCAGGACGGGGACCTGTTGGCAGGAGGATGCCCGCAACCCCGTCTCCTGGCAGGAAGCCACGCAGGTGATGCCTGTCCAGGCTGCCTGTCCAGGTGATGCCCCCCCACCCCTTGCACCAGGACCATCGAGTCCCTGCTTAAGGGTCATCCAAGACCAGCTTCTAAATCAGAGCCAGCCTTCTCCCACAGCACCCACCCACTCCCCACCCCTCACGTCATGGGGTCCCAAGCAGCAGGTGAATGACTGTAGGTAGACTCCCTCTCTGGACCATTGATGTCCCAAACGAACACAGAACGAGGCAAAGACAGCCACTCAGTCTTTGAACAGCAGCTTCAGTTCTAAGCCCGGGTCCCTGAGACGTGGAAACATCTGCCCACGTGTCACTCACATTCGTGTGGAGGTGGATGGGGGCTGAGCTAACCGTGTGGGATCAAAGGGTCCACACGCTGCCACTGTGGATATTTCTCCTGCCTCTGTCTGGGTTTTCTGGTTCTGATTCACTGGCTTAGCGGCTGAGGAGTATGGGCTGCTGCTCTTCCCAGCGCTGGGGACATTGCAGGGACGACAGAGTGTGGAACAGCTGACCTCATCCCCACACCCCCCTCTCTCTGCAGCTCCTGCAGCAGCTGAGGAGTCCGCGTCCCCCCGCCAGCACCAACACAGCCCCCTGCCCCAGCTCTCGGCCCCCTTGGCCCTGGCCTCCCTGTCCGAGTCTGCCCCCGGGACCTGCTTGGGGTCTCCTGTGCGGTCCCGCGCCCCCTCCTCTGCGAGCAGCCTGTCCTGTCCCTCCCTCCAGGAGTTCCTGAAAGTGTCTGCTGTTCTTGTCCAGCTTTCTGAGAGTTCCGTCTCCCTGTCAGACTGGGAAGCCGGGGACACCCCAGACGCAGACCTGATTTTGTCTGGGGAGTCCTCCCCTCAAGGCTCTTGGGGGCCGCACCAGGGCGGAGGGCTGGAGACGTGGGAGAGGCCAGAGGGCAGTGGGGCCAGTCCCCTGCTGGGTTTCTCCACTGTGTTGGGAGGCCCAGAGTCAGCGCCAGGCCTCCTGCGGGCCAGCCAGCAGCCACCTCTCCTCGTCGCCTCTCCCAGGTCAGGGTCAGAGTTGTCAGAGGCGTCCAGCGAGCTGTGGGACGAGGAGGACCTCCCGGAGCCTGGTGCTGGAGCCCGGCCAGCTTCAGAGCACGCCTCACCTGCAGAAGGCGGGACGCCCCAAACGGCACTTCCCTCTTTGGGCCCTGGGATGTGGCAGGAAGCTTCTGGAACTAGTGGGAGCCCTACCAGTGCATCGAACACAGGAAGGGCCAGACGGACATCCCCTGAGGCTGCTTACTCGGCATTCCCATCCAAAACCTCTTCCTCCAGTGACTCAGACCTGTCCCTTTCCCTTCCCTCGGGGTCCTCGGCGTCCTCAGCATCCAAAGGGGCAGATTTCGGCAAAGGAGGCGAGCCTGGGCCTCCACAGGCCTCAGCTGGTTGCCCAGAGGGGCCCTGGGATACTGATCTGAGTCCATCCATTGACAGGAAGCCCCTACAGGCCTCACCGGAGCCTGAGGTCCTTGTGAGCCCACAGGCTCCTCCTGGGGACCCCAGTGGGCTGGCAGCTCTGACAGCTGAGAGCTGGGCTCCTGGGCGTGGGGGCAGCGGAGCCCCCCCTGTCTCCGAGGAAGCCCGCCGCCCTCTGGCCAGCGGTGTTCTACCTGAGATCCTGTCCCCAGTGGACGAGGTGCTCTCTTATGGCAGTGCCGACCTCCCATCCTCCACCCACAGGGGTGCCCACTTTCCTCCGCCACCTCCTGCCCTCCCCACAGAGAGTGGGGCCACCCCCAGCCCCCACTCAGAAGACTTCCCTTCCCCACCGGAAGACACCATGTCTTCTGGGAGCTCTCTAGGCCCCCCAGAGGAGGACACCTCCATCAGCACTGGCAAATTGCCCTCCTTGTCTGAGGGGGTGCTGCCCAAGGCCCTGGCCCTGGGGGCCGAGGAGTCTGGGCTCTGTCTGGGCGAAGGTGCACAGGGCGGAAGCCTTGGGGACGGATTGGAGGAATCGAGTTCCACTGCGGGAGGGCAGACTGTGGGAGGCCGGTGGTCAGAACTCAGCTGGCGAGGGCCCCCGCTGTGTGGGGAGGCAGGCAATGCCCCAGTGCAGCTCCCAACCCTGTCCAGAGCCGCCTGTGTGACCAGGGAGGGTCTGCCAACACTGTTGACGGCTGGCGACGCAGGGCTGTCTGGGTGGGAGGACCCAGCTCCTGCTTTGGAGGTGGGCCCCTGCACTGGTCTCCCAGGCGTGGAGAGGGCCGAGGTGCTGGATTTGGTCTCCACCCAGCTCAGCAGAAGGATCCTGTGCGACACGCTAGCTGTGCTCTCAGAGCTGGCCCAGCCTGGCAGCTCAATGACGGAGGAGTTGGCGGGTGCCAGCCGTGTCCCCGGGCCTCACACAGCAGCTGCTGGGCAGTCTTGTGGAAGACGGGACTTCTGAGAAGAGAGTGGGTTGGGGTTGGTGACGCACAGATATCGGTGATACCCTTGGATATTTGTGTATGTGCATGTGTGTGCGTGTGTGTGTGTGTGCTGGAGGTCCTAGGAAGCCTGGACTTTCCCAGGGCAGAGCCGCCATTCGGAATAGGCCGGCCGTGCAGACGGTCATCTGATGCAAGCCAAAGACTGGACACTGACTCCTTGACATCATCTGCACACTGGCTCTGTCTGCAGTTTTCTGGACACTGGGTCCCCTGCTTCTACCCAGCTCTCGAAGAGGTCCCGACCCACAGGACTTAACTGGCAGGAGCGTAAAAGGTTGTGTGGGGCATGTCCTGAGGCCGCTGGCCAAGAAAAGGTGTGGGGGTTCCGGACTTGAGGGAGAGCCGTCCTGAGGAGCGTGAGGGGAGCGGTTCCTGGGCACAAACTTGGCTTCAGCCAATGTGAGGAGTACGTGCCAGGATGGGGTGAGGGTGGGGCGTCAGCAAAGAGCAAGAGAGGAAGAGAGCGACTTTGGGGGGGCGGGAGCGGCTTTGGGGGGGGCGGAATCAGCTTTGGGGGGGTGGGAAGCAAGGATATGAGGCGGGCGGGAGCCTCGTCCACTGACACGCCCCTCAGCTTTGTTCAGGAAATCATTAGTGGAGATACTGACCCAAGTTTGACTTCTGGAGGCCAAGTGACTGGATGGCTTCACAGTGCCCAGCCAGTCACCGGTGGCTGGGTGATGGGCATGTCCATCTCCTGTGTCACGTTGTATAGAGATTAGAGGAAGTGGCAGCTCAAGGGCCGAAGGGTACTTCACCTGCTGACATTCAACCCTCGGGCCTGTCCTCGGGGTGGATGGGCCCAGGCCTCCCCAAATGTGCCCTGGACTCCTTCTGGAAGAAACAAGAGCCTTGTTTCCCGGTGGACCCATTGCCGAATGGCTCCTCTGTGATTCGGC